AACCCACGTAGACCGGTTTTTAGCTTTTAGATGCGTGTGTCAGGAACGTTCATGTATGAGTGATAGCGCTATATTTGAGAGTTGTGTGTGAGTTTAGTTGACGTCGGGGCGTCGTCAAAACTTTGGGGGGATGAATGTGGCAAGCTGGACTTGGCCACCATATTTCTGTCCAGTAGAGGGCGCCTACGCCCAGTATAAATAGCCTAGATTTACGTCTTTTGTTTACCTCTGCACTTCCGTCTCTTGTGTGTCGTCGCGCCAGCCCTTCTCCTGCTCCAGTGCCGCGGTGTGGCATTGTGCCCCGCGAGTCCTCCTTGTGCACGGCCACACTGTTCAGTCGCTTTGGTGTCTGGCCGCCCTCATTGCTGGGGTCCGAGTGCGTCGTAGCCGGCTGTTGGTCTGGGCCTGTAAACCGCTACTCGTCAAGAGTGCGAGCTCAGTGTTGGCTGTGGAAATGCTGAGGACTGGCCACACCGCGGCCCACCGCTGTTTCTCCCGTTGTCTCTCGTTTCTCTCCATGTTCTTCTATGTTTCTGTTGGGTGTTGTTCACCTGTACTCCTGAGTCCTTTGTGACAGGATGATGTGTGCTTGTGAATATTAATGTGAAATGAAACAGAACCTAGTTGAATCAGGAGAACTAAACGGAACATAATAAATCAAAGTAAACGTAATGTCTGTGCCTCTCAATTATGATTTACGAACCTGTGCGCCTTAGAGCGCTTTATATTTTATTTTGGGCACTTTGCCCTGGCGTTGCTGGTTTTTCTTTCTCATTTATATTTTCATATTCTTTAAGGAGCGCGTAGCAGCCTCCACCTTGCCACATATATGCACTGGGACGTTTTACTGGCGAGTGTGAAGTGGCTCCAAATTTGAGGCCATGGTGTTCGACCTGAAAAATTTGCCTTGACCTCTCCAGGTGGGTGGAGAGGTCCTGCCAAGTCGAGGAGTTCAAGTATCTTGGGATCTTGTGCAAAAGTGAGGGAACGATAGAGCCTGAGATTGACAGGTAGACTGGTGGAGCTTGCGCAGTGATGCAGCCGTTGTATCGGACCTTTGTGGTAAAGAGAGCCGAAAGGCAAAGCTCTTGAATTAAACTGTCATTCTTTGTTCCCTCCCTCACCTATGGTCATGAGCTTTGAGTAATGACTGGAAGGACAAGGTTGCGGATACAAGCTTCCTCCGCAGAGTGGCTGGGCGCTCCCTGAGATAGGGTGAGGAGCTCAGTCACACAGGAGGAGCTCGCAGTAGAGCCGCTGCTTCTCCACGTCAAGAGGAACCAGTTGAGGTGGCAAGAGCATTTGTTACGGATACCTCCTGGACGCCTCCATTGGGAGGTGTACCAGGCACATACCACAGGGTGGAGACCCCAGGGATGACCCAGGACACACTGGAGGGACTCTTTCAGCCCCTGCAACGGATAAAGCTGAAGAAATTTGATCGATGGAACTTCCCATGCCTTGTCTTGCATTTTATACTCTGCAGACCACTGTGAGTCACTATAGATATAGTGTATTGATCCTTGTAGGAAAATTCACTATTTGACACTAAGCTGATTGGCTGAGTGGGGGTGGTTCTCTATTTTCCTCACTTTTATCATAAAAAGCTGAAGCTAAAGATGAGAAAACACTAGAGAACCAAACTGTTTTGAGAGCAAGGAACCGGTTGAATTGAATGCATTACTCATAGTTCACTATTTATGGTTTGAAACTTACCTTTAAATGATGAATGACTGAAAATCAAACTAACAAAATAACGTATTCTGTCATAGAAGTCTCTTATTCCGTAAATGATTCATACATTTTTCAAGTGTATGTCGTCTTGGGTTTGTAATTTTTAGGTTTTCTGCTATCCACAAAGGTGCAATCCCTGCAACAGAATGTGACCTACTTACCTGGCTCAGTCCTTTTCGTCCCCATTTCTTCACGCCTGCTGGCTCCCAGGTTAAGGGACGGTGGAGCCATTAGAAATCATATAATACGTTTAACATGTATTTTTGTATCTCCCCTCATGACTCTTAATGCCTTTCACAAAGTCACAAAAACACCTTGAAACCTCCTCCCTTTTAAATGTTTTTTTTGCTTTAGTCATGCCATTAACACGATTTGCCAACAGTAAGGCGATTCTTCACGCAGATGACTCCAGTTTCCTGGCAGTCTGATTTTCCAACTCATTCAGCAGCAAACATTCTCGTGTTGATGTATCGATTGAGGGTATTGCCACTTTGTTGTGACCCAAATTCCCCCCAGTGTATTCATTAATTAGCTGATGCAAAGCTGTGCTCCCTGGGGAGGAGTGAGATTGAAAAAGCTCATTACAGGATACATCAATACAGAGAGATTAATCATTCTCCGGTATGGAGGAACACTGCTCTTGTTGTGGTGAATGTGGCACAAACAAGGCCACATATGTGACAGCTCGACACAAAAACTCTACATCTCCAACAGTCCTACAACAAAGTATCTGCTTTTTCAATTACTGATTAAACTTTCTCCTAATTTTAACCATGACATGAATTAATAATGCTTTGTAGACAGTCAAAGACACTTTTCATTGGGGTTGAAACGATCAGGTAAATTACCAGTAATCGTTACTGCAACAGATTCTTTAAAAAGTTCAGTATGTCTTATGGTTAATGCTTAAAAGGTTCTTTTGATAAGACAATAATGAAAAGTTGCTTGTACTGCAGTCTAATGCCAAAACATGACAAGTAATTAGGTTCTTTACACTTGTGTCTTATTAAAAGAACCAACACGTCTCCAACGCAGACAAATGTTATCTAAAAACTCAAAGAGCAATAACTGAAGGCATACAATGTATTATTTAATCACGCATGTTTATGCTAAAGATTGAAAACCAAATGTTTAGAGGAAGTAAAACCGGTGCTGAAAGTCCATGGCTCGGTTCTTCCTCTTCAGCCACATGAAGAGGCTGTCGATATTTTTTGCAAAAAATCGAGATTGAGAACAAATAAATAAAAACTTCTTATTGCCTGAACCCCACTGGAATGTACTCAGTGGGATAAACAGATTTTCGGTCGATATTTATCAAAATCAATGGAAATTATATTTGCTCAAGGTCTCAATATTGAGAGAGGTAATTCTTCAGAATTGTTTACTTTAGTTTGAAGTCAGAAGTTTAATCTCACACAGTGGTTTTGTTTCCACTGTATACAGTAGGCATTAGTTAAATCAGCGGATTTCAATGTGTATCAAGTCATCAATAAAGATGTTCTCCAGGGGCATTGCTTTGAGCTTTACTGAGCAAAGTAATCCTGAATTACACCACTGAACTAAAACAGTGGCAAGGAAAGTAAAGAATGTACACCCTCTTTAGTATCAGGAAATGAAAAACTGGTGTTGATTTTTTTTTTTTTTATCAACTGTGGGTGACAGTGGCTCAGAGCATTGGCCTATAAGCCTGAAGGTTGCTGGTTCGAGTCCACCACAAGACCTTCTCCACCGACTCCCACAGATGTTTGTTGTTGTGTCCTTGGAAATGACACTTAACCCCACTTTGCCTGTAGCCCCCGCTGACAGAGCAACCATCCTCCTGTGGACTCACCACCCGCAGGAGGATCAGTGAGGGGCTGGTGCTCTGTAGATTGAGTGCAACTCTGATTTCCAACCCTGCCAACCCAGAAATGGATTAAGGGGAAGAAGATGGATGGGTTTTTCATCATCAATGACATGTAATTCAAATCCTACAGCAGTGTAGGATAGTACTAAACTATATACAAAGAAAACAAACAAAAATTAAGACATTAATTAAAAGGTGCTGTTAACGTTCATTCTGAACATAAAATCAAACAATTATTCACGAGGCCCAAATGGTTTTGTGTTGAGTGAGGAGACTAAGGCTGTGGTGCAGTAAAGCTTACATGCTTTTTATGTCTGTAATGCACATGTGTGTGCTGTCATGCCTATATGGTTCTCACTGGAGCATTCAGGGGGTTCAGTTGTGGGAGACCCACAAGTCTGTGGGATTCCAAAAGTATTCTGCAGTCAATGACAGCTTGAAGAAGATGACGTCTCCTTTAGCTTCCCTAAAATTCCCCCCAAAAAAATCTGCCTCTTATTGTGGAAAAAAGGCCTCTTGCAACTTTGTCAGCTGCAATAACTAAATAGATACAAATTAGTTTAGGTTTTGACTGGGCAGGTGTTTCTGGCTTTTTAGTTTTAGTTTTAAACCAGACAAATACGGGACAAAACTTACCACTTACCAGAACTTGATTGTTATTAGTCTATCTGATGACCATGCGCTGGATGGCATGTCCTTGGCCAGAAGCCACAAATCTTCAGTCGGCTCAAACTCACGACGAGAAGACCAGGCCAGAGGCTGGGGACCCTTCCTAGGCCGAGACCACAGCTAAGCCCTTTCAGATGATGGAACTGTTCCATGATGCCACATGGCTTTGGACGTAGATGGAAACAAGCCTCTTTGACCATTTCTGACATATTCACTGTTCCATTTATATAAACAAATAAAACAAAAATGTTTAATAAATTGGACAATTACGTTCTTTAGACAATTCATTGTGCTTTTTTAGGAAACAACCTAAACAAAAAACAAGTGTACAACATGATAACAAATTTTTTAGTAGAAAAAAACATTCAGAAATTGCATTACTTTGCATAATTTGAGCCTCAAGAACATTCCGTAAGTATCTAGAAACTGCTGAGTCAATCACATAGAACAGTATCAGGCTCATTATGGATGTAATGTGTTTTACAAACGAGGATTGCTTCAGACAACAGCATAATGGAAGGACTATATATTGGACGATAATTAGTCAGCTTCAAATTAGTCAAAGCATAAATAATTGTGCATACATATTTTTTTCCATTAAACATTAACAAAAATATGTGACAGAATGGCTAACAGTTATATTATGAATGATATAACTTGACACATTTGGGAGATTATAATGGTTTCAACATGGTCCTTGGAGGATCCTTGTGCCATAGACAGAGTTCACAGAGCAGAAAGTGTGATGGGTTCACTGCAGAAACAGATGGGCTCTGAAAGAAAGTTGTCTTTTCAGAGATTACTTCCTCCATGTTCTTGGCTTAGTGCATACGACAGAACGCAGCTGGCCACAGTGTGAGATTTTGAAAAAACTAGAGCAATATAACGGTAAATTTATTAAATGGCAATACTTTTGGCCAAAAACATGTTCTAAACTTTTAAACCTCGATCTATCATTGTTATGACAAGATGACATAATATTGAGCCCGCAATGGGGTTTGTAAACTAATATTCACTGTGAACGTCAGGGTTTGACATCATGAAGACATTGAAGTGTTTTTTTTATAGTCAATTGTTTTAAAATTACCGGTTCAGTTTGTTAGCCTTTTTATCTACCCATCTAAAACTAATTTTTGTCCCGAATTGAAATGCTGCGTTGACCAGGACCACAGTGGGAAACATAGGCGTGTTTTTTAGAGCCTTGGGTTTAGGGAGTCTAGACTACAGACTAGTTTATCATCCAAACATTTTATTTAATTTAAGAGAGTTTTATAACCTCGTTCACCTTACCCTACCCAAAGGAATGGGCAATGAAACCTCTGTCTTCTATGGTGTATAAATTACCGCAGGTTGAATGGTCAGTGGTTTGGACATGCATCAGCGGGTAGAAAAGTGTTTGGACTGATTAAAACACCCACAGCTAACAACCACAAATATGTTTCTTCTGTTGAAATGTTTGCTATGTTTTTGTTTGATGCATATCTTTTGTTTTAGGCCAAGAAGCGCATTATAGAGTTTAACCAACCCTCCAAAATAACAAAAGAAAAACTCTAACAGCCAGGGCTCGAATAAAAAAAGTCATGCTAAATGGAGAGAAAAGAAATGTCAGTGTGCTGTGACCTGCTCAGATAAGTCTCTTTGGGCTGGTCTTCAGAGGCTTTCTTGCTGAAACGGAATGTTCTCGTTCTGTCGGCCTTTGTGGTACTCTGGCGTTGGAGTACGAGACAAACTATGTTCTCTGTCCAGATCTTCATCCTTTAACATGAGTATTTTGATAATACATTAGAAAGAGTTCATGAGATAATTCACTTTTGAAAAAAGAAACCAATTCCACGAAAGAGTTAAGTTAAAGCTGAGGTATGTCTTTTTCCTAATCAATAAATAAATGAATAATGCATGTTTGTCCCCATGTGGAGGGCAGTACATCAGGCCCTCTTCAACGTATTAGAAAGTATGTTTATAGTTTGCATACTTGTAACAAAGGGTAATCAAAGAGGTGAATGGTTGAGTGAAAAAGATTATCTAAATATGAAAGAGAGCCCAAAAATACATGCCTGTAATATTGGAACTAGTTATATGGATTGTATTGTATTGGGTGGTTTGAAAATGAGGTAACCCAGCTTTAACTGAACAATTCCCACCATCACCAGGCATTCCCCGTTCCCAAAGAACCGCACCGTATCTGCAGTGTCCTCTCCTTCTGCGGAGCGACTGTACAGCTCCATGTCAGACAGAGCGCTCTCCAGGGCCTCCTCATCATAATCAGTGTGGCAGTCAGAATCTTCTACAGAGGGGCAGAGTGGGCACCAGGAAGCAGAGAGTAGGTGAAAACAGCCAAATGTGCCGTGGATGAAATGATGTAGTGGAAAAGACAGGTAAAGAGGTAAGAGTGTCGGAATGGAAAAGAGATATAATGTGTACAAAGAAATGAAACTATCTGGCAGTTTGGTTTGTAACAAAAAACACTTTTTTGTAGAAAAGGCATAATTACCAAAACCTTGACCAAAACTCACCATCCACCACAGCTGGTTTAACAGGCTCAATGCGAGACACAATCTCTGCCAGGTCAGTGAAAGAGGCATTAGGACATGTCAACACCTGTCAAAACACAAACATGAACAAAGTTATTTTAAACACAGGTTAAAAATTACATTTAAATCTACTCAAAATATTCTATATAAATATATAAACGTAAGTAAATTCGACTATGAATTTGTTTTTGAGAACACACAACTTCTAAGTTCACACTAGATTCCTTCTTGGTTCAGAACATTTTGAGCTATTATTCAAGAGAAATAGTCCAAGTGGAGCTTATATAAGAACACAAGGACAACTATAAACAAAAACAGAAATAAACAAAACAAAAAGACGTTTTAAAAAGTAGGGAAACGTTTGCAGAAAGCTGTGGCTGTATAGAAACTAAAGGTCATCAGCATCTAAACCTACATTGTTCTTGCTTTGAGTGTTGTGGAACTCCTCTTGATGTCTGTCCTTCAACATTTTTTCTACCACTCCACTGCGACACCACACATCAAACACTGTTTTGCCGTGTTGATATCCCACCTCCTGTTAAATAAAGAAAATATAACAGTAATGCAACATGTAAAAAACTAAAGGCAATAGTCACTTACAGCTATCTCATCAAACTTTCCAAACTCCAGCGTTCGATATCTGTCAATGGGAGGCCTAATGTACTCGCAGTAGTCACTGTTCTTCACCAACTCCAGCTGCCGCACACAGCACACGTACGCCAAACGAGTCTGGATCTCAGCCATGTTTAGGACCTAAGCAAAACATGTTTTAACTAACCCCAGTGTTCAGCAAACCTCCAAGAGAGTGTGTGGTTATTATACCTTGACTTTCTCAGCAAGTGGATTGAGGCGTTTCCATAACAGCCACCAACCGGAGAGTGAGTCGCCATAATTAGTCAGGTTGGTCTCATCTCGACTGCCTACGTCAATAGCAATCACCACTTTAGCCCCCATAGAGCGTGCCACGTCAGCTGGAGGCGAAACAAAAGATGCTTAAATAAATTAAATTAAATGTACATTACAGGCTGTTATCCCAGAATAAAATGTGAGCTTTCTAAAGACCTGGCAGGTTGTTGATGTAGCCTCCATCCATCAGCAGGTGTCCATCTTTGGGGTCACAGAGTGGAGGAAGATACCCAGACAGGGACATACTGGCACGAACATATCGCCACAGGGATCCTGCAATAGCAGACAGGCTTCAAATGGACGATTTATTCCTTATAATAATTGGAGGAAATTGTTAACAAAAGTCCCTATGATCAACTTCCCTGGAGTTTGAAGAACATACCATCTGTGTGTACTCTCATTGTGGAAGAGCTGATGTCTGTTGTAATGTTAAAATACGGTATCCACAAATCCTTTAAAAAAAAAAGAAAAACTGATTGTTAATATGCTTAAGTCTGGTCATTTTTGAAGGGTTCATTCTGACCTCTATCTGTTTGCTTTTGAACAAATTGCTGAGGCTTGAATTAAATGAAGCACCAGAAAACATTGAAGTAATTGGATAGGTCAAATCCAGAACCTTTTTGAACTTTGATGTCATTCCCTGCAAGAAAGAAATGTGTTTTTTTTTATATTTACGGATTACTTTGAGAATATAAGACAAAGATGATTTCTCCTAACCATGGACCATTCCCGAGCCCGGATCCTCATGCGGCTGTGGCTTCGATCCTCTGCATATAGTGCACCCATCAAGGAACCAATGGATGTTCCACCTATTATGTCCACAGGAATCCCAGCCTCAGACAGAGCGCGCATTATTCCCACTTGGGAACAGCCTCTGGGTTAGACAAAGAAATAGTTATTCCTGCCATGTTGAATATCTTCTTTGAAATTGAAAAATCTACTAAAGCAAGGTTCAATTACCGAGCACCACCCCCTCCCAAAATAATGGCAATACTGTTTCCGGTCAGAACTCGAGCCAGTCGTGAGAAATCTGAGTGACGATCCGCTGGCTTTTCAAACACACGTTCATATAATTCACGCTGAAAAGTTGATTTAAAAACCCATTGGTCATTGAAAAAAAAAATATGTATATACAGATCAACAACAATGTTTTACCAGCTTGGGGAGGCTTCTTTTGGAAAAGACTCTTCTGGGACAAGAGAGGTGCAGGTGTCTTGAGATCCAGCTCCTCATGTTCAGCCATTCCACTGTGCCTTTGGGTGGAGGGCCATCTTCTCTGTGCAACAACACCAGCTGCTTCTGAGCTCGCACAGCACCAGCTTCCAACATGCGCTCCAGCTACAGATAAGACACCAACACAGATGTTCAGGGTCACTTTTAAGTAACAAACCCACATAGACTAAAACACAACTAGAAGCGCACTCATAGAACACTCCGACGCTTGACTTTGTTTTCCTTGAGCCATTTTTGTGAAAGTTTGGAAGTGTGCTCAGGGTTATTGTCCAACACACATCTGTGATCAAACTCCCTCAATAATTTTACGATTTACAAGTTTCTGCCCTCTGAAGATATTATGAATAAATCCTTGGGTCAAATTGGCCCGCCATAGTGATTAAGTATGTAACTGATTGATTCATATAGCGCCTTTCTCAGACCAGTCACAAAGCCCTTTACAATTGTGAGCATTTGTCGCTCCCACACAGAGATGGGATAGGAAAAATTACCCTAAATCCTTTTTTTAGCTGAATTTGGATCCTGGGTCATTTAGACCAACATTTAGGGTATTTGTTTCCTTCTACTTTTAAATAAGTTATTGATTTACTTGAACAGACAGTTTTATCTCTGAATAATATTAGGAATTGTGGGAATGGATGGGTGAAAAGCGTTTTTGCTAAGGTGTATGTCAACATATGACTGACTACTGAGTGGGACAACTATAAGTTGTAAACCTAGCTAAACATAATGTGACAAGTAATTTAGTAAAAGTTTTCCTCCATAAGAATGCATTTCATGATCCTCATTTTATCACAAATGTCCCAGAGCTGCTCACCTCCCCAACAGTAGGGTCCTGCTCCCCGAGACCCACGATGATGATGCAGTCAGCCTGGCGGATGCACCTTTGAGTCCATGGAGTCAAAGTGTAGTCTGTTTGATACAACACTATGCGATGGATGTCTTCTTGTTGACCGAGCCAGCTGGAAAGGCGATACTCGTGGACACTAAACACAACCCAATTTGTCAATAGTAATTTGGACAAACTAAATAAACGGACATTAAATAAGAAAACAAAACTTGTACCTGTCAAGTGCTGTACCTCCAAGGCGCTGTTTTATTGTATCACTGGTCAACAACAAAGTGGGACCTGTACGAGAAAGTATAGTGTTGCATGAGTGTTCAATTAAATTGGTAAGTAGATCATAAAAATGTGAATATCCTAATTTTTTTGCAATATATGTTTAAAAAGAATAACTATTGAAACAAAGTCCACTCTAGGAGACATATGTCAAACAGCCTTTCTGGAACTCTTTTTAACAACAGACCAGGAGTTGTTTTTAGATTAATCCTCACTAATGGGTTTGACACACAGAAGGGCGACATCACTGTGTCTCCAATCATTTCATAACGCTTATGAGCAGAAATGCGCTGGTCCCTTTTGTTGTGTGAAAGTAAGATAGGGCACAAAGAAACCATATAACACAGTGACGGACCAAGTGCAGAACAATTGATACCATAATTTTTTTGTGATCCATGTTTCATTTTGATTTTAATTCCTTACTAAACTCTAAATCCTACAGAAGTAAAAATTATATTGTGATAAATCCACAATTATCATTTAAAAAGACTTTTTTTTGCTGACCTATTGCTACAAGGGCATGCTGCAGCTCCAATGTGAACGCAGTGAGAGGGACTTCCTCCGAAACTGGCAACACAGCCACCGTGGACAGGTTAGATGCTTGGTTTCCTGCATCCCATTTGCTGCCAGGGAGGGCCAAGCTGCGCGCTGGAAACATGCAGAAAGACATACACTTGTAAAACCCCAAAAATCAAATTCAGTTGGAATTTGAGAGGGAGAGGCACATACATGTTAGTGGACCATTGACCTGTCTGAGGATCTTCTCTCCAAGCAAGTGGATTAACCTGGTAACAACCTGCAGGGATGGCATAAATTATTGTTATTGAAAAGATCTTCTTCATTATAGTATTTGTGACCATTAGCATCAGTAATGAAACTAATCAAGTAATAAATCCATTAGTAGCAGCATATCCATAAAAAATACCTGAGGGAATTTTCTTTTAATGGAGCTGAGAGCACCCTGTGGTAATTTGGCCAATTCCGAGTCTCGGACTGCATGTACTGTGGTGGCACTGTTCTGATGGGTTACGGCTTCAACCTAAAAGAGAACATTTAAGCAAAAAGCCCATAATAACTGTAATTGTATTTCAATATTGTATCATGCATAATGGTCTCCCTGCTAACTATGACAGAAAACATGTTTCTCTGTTGACACCAGAGTCACAGTTGTTCTGAAGATTTCTTGTACTTTACACCAGTTTTATTCCCACCCCATCAGTTAGGTGCCCTTCTCTCTGTAACGGTAGCCATAGCACCCACTAGAGAATGTATAAATGGACGGCAGAGTGGCAAAGGCAACTGCTGAGACTGGTGTATTCACAAGTCAAGTAAAGGATTATTGTTATGAAATCATTTTGAAGCCATTTATTCAGGGAAAAATACAACTTTGATAACAGGGGGACTTGTGAGTAGAGATATGGCCACTGTATCAGACTTTTGTGGTGAAGAGGGAGCTGAAGAAGGAGCTGAATTGAAAGGAAAAGCTCTCAATTTACAAGGCAATCAGTGTCCCTGTCCTATGGGTTATGACCAAAAGGATGAAATTGTGGATACAGGCGGTCTGAATGGGTTTCCATCGCAGAATGGCTGGGCGCTCCATTAGCGATTGGGTGAGGAGCTCAGTCACACAGGAGGAGGATGGGGTTAAGCTGAGGTGGCTATGGCATCTGTTTAGGATGCCTCGGTGGGAGGTATCCCACTGGAATGAGGCCCCGGGGAAGTCCCAGGACACACTGGAGGGACCGTATTTCTCAGCTGGACTGGGATGTGGGATTCAGATGACCTGGAGAAAGTGTGCATGGATCGGGAAGTCTGGGAATTGCTGCTCAGGCTGTTGCCCCAGAGCAACATATAAAATAGAAAATGTAGTGGTGTATAAACTCAATCATCTCTCATTTGTAAAGGAAATTACCACTCCAATCAGGTCTCCTCGTCCATACTCTCCTATAAGCTCTTTTTTTCCATCCTCTTTCAGGATCACAGAACGGAGTCGTCCACTAAGCACGATGAATGTGCAATCTGACTTATCCCCTTGTCTGAAATAGGGTTCAAGTTAAAATAAAAAAATGTTCATCCAGTTTGTAATTTGCAATAACAAACCTGTAGACAGCCCTTCCAGCTTCCACAGCCATCCAATCAAGTGCAAAGTCTATTTGTCGGACAAAGGAGGACATCCTTCTCACAACCGTGTGCGCCACATTCAGCACAACCTTTGGCTCCACACGCATAATTCTGAAAGGCAACATTTATTTAGTATTTAATTTGAATTGTCATCTTGACTGTTAAACAAATTGAGTCCTTTGTCTTACTCATAAAAGTGAGTTTTGGAAATTGAGAGAAAGCTGCAGTCTCTTTGAGCTCGTACAGTAAATATGAGTGGCTCCCCGGTCAGCACAGCCAGCTGCCCAACCAGCTCTCCAGGGTGGGTCACAAACAAACGGGTGTCTTCCTCACGGTCAATCATACGTTGATAAACGTGGAGAAGGCCTGATATTACAAACTGAATGCTTACTTCCTAAGAGGATCAGAGCAATATTAGACAGGACATACATTAGCATGACTCGGGATCAGATTGTGTGGTTCTGGATAGTCAGGATAGAGGGACATTTCAAATGTGAAAATGTGATTTATTCACCTGGTCTCCTTGACGAGCAACAACCGAACCAGCTTTGACTTGATGCAGAGTCACCCTGCCATCAAGTAAACTCGGATCCTAGTTTGCAAAGGTTAAATATATAGACTTATTGTTAAATGTCTATGAGAAGATCCTGTAGAGTTTTTAATCATTTTTATTAAACATAATATATAAATCAAATGTCTTCATCATTTTAAAGTTGCATTACACAACAGTCATCTAAATGTTGTTTTACCTGGACATTGGGTCCAGGTCTTCTCATTGAAAAAAAAAGTGTCTGGATTCTTACAGTGAGATGACCCATAACTACTGTAAGTTAGTTTTTGAGCACAGAAATACTCCATGATTGAGGAATAAACATGTATTTAAACCAAAGTAAGCAACAAAACAAGAAAAGCAATGACATCTCTATGGCAAGAAACAAGTATTTGACCACAAAAAGCGGGTCACAAACCAGAACATTACAGAGTTCACCTTTAATTGACCAAACCAAAAACAAGGGCCACTCAATTGTTCATTGTGCTTAACCTAGATCCGTTACCTGCAGCTGCAATACTCCCAGCAGATCTTTCTTTGCAGCATGAAGAAAGGTGCTGCTTTTACTGAGATGAAAAGCGTCAAACTGCCCTCTGCTGTCCGTATAGTGAAACACCTCTGTTGGTGCGTGATGCATTGTCACCGTTTTCTTTAAACTGGACTAAACACAGATGCATTGTCAGTTAGAAAAACGAACTGGCTTCTGTCAGTGTTAAACGCTCAAATCAAATCTCACTTTTGGAAAAACAGGGCTGGGGGGAGTTTCCTCAATTGCAACACGGGCTCGTTCACAAGCCATATTCAGGTCATTGCCTAACAACAAATAATGTAAAATTCAAAGAGTTTGGCATTGGTAGTCACAATAAGGAATCGCATACAATTAGAGGTAAATAATGCCCAAACTGCAAAACATATCTTATATCTTAATACATTTTTGTGGTTGAAATTAGTAAATAGCAAAGCCTGCAATTGGTTACGTTTTGTGCAAACAAAGACAGGACAAACAGAAAAAAACATTATTTTTTCTACAATAACTATGTGTGCATGCGTGTGTGTGTACACACACATTCTCAGATTATATTCTCTGTTGGCAAACCGAGAACTTTATATAATCCTCTGAGGCAACGGCTGTTGTGATTTAGGGCTATACAAAAATAAATGTAATTGGATTGGATTTGTATTGTGGAGATTTGTAACATTTCTAACAGGGGTGTACGATATGTTAGGATTTTCTTTCGGAAATGGGTTTCTTATGTGCATTCCTGAACAGCAGGAAAAAACAAAAGCCTTTTCCATTGATTGATCCACAGTCGCACTCACACCCTGAACTACTGTATGTTTTTACGCAGAGAAGTGGAATCATGGTAATTGCTTCATACATTGGGAACACAATGTGACTCCCTTGAAATTATTTTTAGTGTGAAGAAAATTTACATTTTTAAAAACATAGCATTGCAATGTTGGTCAGAAATATTGCAATTACATTTGTTTGTGTAAGCTCTAAGTCATACAGGGATTAGTCAAAGCAAAGGAAGGTTTCTCACTCTTCCTTTGCTTTGCAATTACATATTTTGCCAAAACCATGCAGCATTAATCTACACCGTTACTTTAAAAAAATCTATGATTCATAAAACATTAAACAAAACATGTATATGCTTTGTTTAATGATTTATGAATCATATATTTGACTAAATTTTAGTCAAATTAAGCGTGACGTACCTGGGCAGTCAGGGGGCAAAGAAATGGACCGTTGCTTTCTATAGCTATGTGAAGGACTGTCCTTAACACCATCTCCTGTGCCCAAAACAAATCATTGTCATAAAAATGGAAGATGAATGTGGACAACTTGACAGTGTTTAGATTTAGGTGTGGGTGCTGACCCATTTCAGCAAGGGGCTCAAAGTTCCCACCAGGTAACTCATCTTGGAAGTGCAGACGACGGGTCACCTTCCCAGAACTGGCCTCACAAATCACATTGTTCACATTTGTCAAGGGGACAGCCTGGCTTTCCTGTAGAAAGCAACCAGTGCATTACAACCAACTCTGGATAACACTTAACTACCATTAAATATATGTTTTTTACAGACAAAAAAATAACCACCATTTTTACAAATATGAAAATAATAAAATGCTTCTTAAAGGCAGCATGTTATGGTCTGATTTTTTCACATTTTATTTCTACAAGCATCTTTCTGTTGGGACAAACATGTATTACCAGAAATCTGTACACTCGGCCCTTTACAATGTTAGTTCAGATAATAGCAAACTAAGTCATGTTTATTATAGGGCTGTCAAACGATTAAAATGTTTAATCGAGTTAATTACAGTTAAAAAATTAATGAATTGTAATTAATTGCATTTAGAACTATCGGCAAAATGATGCCATATTTTTCAGTAAATGGTTGTTTGAATGGAAAGATAAATGACAACATATTGTACATATGTACAGTATTTGTTTATTATAACAATAAATCCACATAAAAAGGCATTAACATTATTAACATTCTGTCTTTCTGTTTAGACTCTATATTTTCAGCTCGGCTAAAGCCTCCTCTTTCTTCTTCTTCTCTGTCTCATGAAGGCTGTGGATCCTCTTCATTATTGTGCCTCTACAAACTATGGTTTGTTACAGCGATGAGAGACATTTGAAAAAAGTCTGAAATGCACATCAGCCAATGGCTGTCATTAAATCTGTTTGATTTGATCACAACATTTCATTTTTGGGCACAAACAACATGAAATGGTAGTGCAAGGGAAAATTTAGGTATCCCAGCTTTAATTTAGCGTATTTTTTTGCTTCAGGAGAAGACATGGGGGAGACGGACTGTTTCTTCCAGCGCTGTATTTATCGTGCGCACTGGTCACGCACATAACAAGCAGAGTATAGTCCTGTGGTGTTTATGGCATTGGGTACATGGCCACGTTACGGCTGCGCGCTCCCGAGTTGTTGAAAGCTGCTCACAGCCGCTGGACGCAGGAACCGCTGTCCAAAGCAGCCGCAGCTGCCCCAGAACGCACTCCCACTCACAGCAAATGCCCCGCGGTCACGCGCGCGGGGTGCCAGTCACTTGGCACATGCGTTGAAAGCGTTAATTAACGGGCGTTAACACGATAACTTTGACAGCTCTACTTTATTTACTTTAAACAGAGCATTTACTTACCGGACTAAAGAGTTCTGTTGTTAAACCAAGATAGTTGTGCAATGCCAGAAATGTGACTCTTTGGAGGCGTACCATAATAATCTGTAACACAGAATAACATTCAGTTTAAAGGGATGAAAAGAAAACAAGTTATTTGTTGACAGGTAGATATCAGACCTGAATGACGCGCACAAGGGTTTCTGGGTATTTCTTGAACACAGACTCAAAAGCTGATGCTGGCAAACGTAATATAGTAGAGCGAGTAGCGGCCCGTGCTGTCACAGTCTTGTATGGTGCAGGATAACCCTAACATAGACCAGAATTATTACATTGTCTCTATATTTTTTATATTCAGATGGTTTTGCACACAATATCTACTTGAAATGAAACAGAGCTAAATGAAGTTTTATTTTTATATATCTGTACCGTTATGACATCCAGAATACTCAGCAGACTGTGGACACTATCTCCTGGAAGCACATCCTTCACAAGTGGCTCAGTGCCATCCTGAATTTAAAAATAAATAAATAAATAAATCTGGGCAGAAACCATTTTCCAAATGGAGCTCTGAAGTAAATAATTGTAATCAATTTACCAAAGAGGGATGCGGGGGAAAAAATCTGTTGACTGACTGCATCAGGTGTCATTATATAATAAAACAGTTGAAGAACAAGATGAACTCACATTTTCGTGTATACAAAGTTTGAGGCGTCCATCCTGTACAACATATATGCTGTCATCATCATCTCCAGGTCTAAAAAGGCTATCCCCCTCCTGCAGCTCAATAAAAACCATGTGACGACAAAGTTCAAGGAAAAGAGGCTTCTCAAAATGGCCGAGGACTCTAGAGGCAAATGCATTAGGATTTGAAACACACGCTAAGGCCTTTACAGCATAATAATCAAAGCATACTACCTGACATTCTTCAGCATATAAAGGACCTCAGAAGGAAGGTTTGAGCTCTGTACATCAAACTCTGTTAGGTCTGCCTCCAGAAGAGAGGGAGGTGGTTCTTTAGGCTGCAAAGTCGGAGGATCCTTTCGAATCCTCAAGATTCTGTCAACAAATGCATTAAATGTATTCATTTTTGTACAGCTCAAAATCTCAGCAGCAGTAGCTTGAATGGATTACACAAAATTGTTGATTTGCCATTAAGGGAGATTAGAACATCCAACAATGAAAACAGTCAACTAAGACAGCTGAGGAATGCACCTTCAAAATGTAAATAGATTAACCAATGTTCACAGAAATGTTGATTGTGTTTAATACTGTCCAGATAAACACACATTATATTAGAAATGTACATACTTGCGTGCTATGCTTAGTACTTTGGTTCTCTTGCGAATCCGTTGTGGTGGCTTCGATATGGATGTAGAAGAGGGAGGAGGGGTAGATGAAAGGGTCTGGACCTGAAAAAAGAAAAAGAAAGCATGAATTATGTTTACATCATTTCAAAATATTATGAATGTTATATAATGTTCCAACCTTTCGCATGATCTTCCTTCCATAAAAAAGCATTTTATCCCTTTTCCTGAAGCGATAATGTGGCACACCAGGCTGCTGTTCACCTGACGCCATGTTTTAAAAATTCAGACAAAAACAGTCAGAATCTCATGCTGAGATTCTGAGAAGTAAGTGTTATTTCAGCAACTAAATAGGGAAGTAACTCACGAGCATGTCTGTATTTTCGGTAGAGAAAGAGCACTACAATGCCAATAAGCGCAACAGCCATTCCTGCTCCTATGAGCACACCTGTAAGCTACACACAAAAAACATTAATGTATAACAAAGCAAAACAAATGTGACCTAAGCAACCTGAAATACCATTGTAGTCTGCATCCTCTCCTCCACAAACTGTTGCACTCTTTTAGCAATTTCGTTCTTACTATGGACCAACATCTGAAACAACACATAATCGTTAGTGCAGCAATTCTGTAAGAATACATTAGCATGTTCAGAATAAATAAATGAAAATATAACAATTTGCAGAAATTCGAATTTGAAGATTTTACATTGCTGGTCCATCCACAGAACTCAGTATATTCATCCGAGCCATTGCAATCAGTACTGCAACACAAATATACTTGATAAATACATACAAAATTGACATTATTTAAGTAGCTTTAATTTTGATCACGTGATATTGAGAGGACGCAAATAAACAGTCGTACAAATAGAAAATGTAATCAAACTTAAAAACACGGTGATGACAACATTTGTTATCAATGTTATCAGACAGAATGACTCCTCCAGCTGTGCAGTAACATGAGATGTTGACAACAGCAGAGCAAACAGAAGCAGCTAGCTTGACAGCCTCATTAGCTTTAGTAGCTTTAGTATCCTCATACCGCCACAGCCCGTAGATAGTTACTTTCAGGATGTGGGACGGAAAACTTACATTTTAAGCATTTAATCTGTACAGTTGTTGGGGATGTCCACAATGTCAGCAGTAAATAATGGAGCAAAGTTAGCAGGGAGCTAACAAAAGTTTTTTCCCCAACATCGATTCTAGACCATCTATGTCCCGCCCACATCCACGATATCAGCCAATAGGATTGTCTGATCGATGCGCGCTCAGCCAACCAGAGACCACATTGCAGACACTACAGTTTATGTTTACGACATTCAACAGTCTCGATAATGTGTAGTTTTACACATAAGATTAATATCTTTAAAATATACAAAAAAAAACCAAGGTTAATATTTAGCCTTAATAAGACTCTTACCACAAGTAAGTGGCTTTTGGAAAGAGTATAAAAAGTAATGGCTGCTGCGATAGTTGTTTCATGTAGTTACATCATGGATCTATTATGAGTTACACAGACTTAGGCTGTGGTAGTCTACGTGGAAAAGTGTATCTCAGATGAATAAACTGTAGGCTGCCAGATTAATCAATTGAAAGCACAATCTTACTCTTTCATTATTTCAAGAATGTCCCCCAAAAATAACATGTTTAAGAGATAAGAGACAAGATAAGATAAACCTTTATTAGTCTCACAGGGGAGAAATTCCAGTGTCATCATTGCACATTACAGCAGAGAAAGGAAATAAGAGCACTCAGATTGCACACATCAAAGTCTATTATTTAAGATAATAGACAATAAATTTAAGACAAAATAAAATAAAATAAGATAAACTCTGGGCTATAATTGCACTTGGTTCAGAGTATTTACAGATGTCTATATTATACATTAGCAGCGGAGAATATGAGAATATGAGCAGAATAAACATCAGAAATAATATCAACAGGTAAAGTGACTTGAATGGGAGAATTATCAGATGGATATGAATAATACAGTAAGATATCAACAGGTAAAGTGACGGTGAAAGGCAGAATTATCAGATATGTAATAATACAGTAGTACTGATAACAGGTAAAGTGACTAGTGACAAAGTTACTAGTGAATTATCAGTGACTTAGTGATTTATTGCCATCAGCTACAGGGAGCAGACTTATAGTCTCTTCATTCAAGGTCAGGCTTAAAACTGTCCTTTTTTAATTTAGCATATGTGTATATGGAAGAGAACCGCGGTAAAGGGGGCCACTTTACTTTAAAATTGGGGTCAAACAGGCTATGGGTCAAACTGTGTAATATTGTTCCCAAAAACACTATTTTTTTTGTTTTTGTTTTTTATCTAAAAAGACCCCTACTTTCACTGTAAACGTGTTCTGTGTGATGCCCTCTACCACTGTGCAAAATAACATTCACTTTTACTGTAGAAATTCAGAGAAAATTAGGGTCAAAGTGTGCATAATTGGTCCCAAAAACACTTTTCAAAAATAAATATAATTTGTTTTTATTTACTCTTTAAAGTTCCCTGACTACTTTCACTGCATACTTGTTTACTGTGATTCCCTCTACTACTGTGCAGAGTAACATTCACTTTTACTGTAGATGTGTTTTTGATAAAAAATGTTAATGTGCTTTTGGGACCAATTATGCACACTTTGGCCCCAAAGTGTGCGTAAGTGGTCTTTGAATTTCTACAGTACAAGTGAATGTTATTTTGCACAGTGGTAGAGGGCATCACACTGTACAAGTGTGCAGTGAAAGTAGTCAGGGAACTTTATTTTTTATTTAAAATTATTTTTGAAAAGTGCTTTTGAGACCAAAATTTGCATACTTTTAGCCCAATTTTCTCTGAATTTTTGCGATAAATGTGAATGTTACTCTGCACAGTAGTAGAGGGAATCACAGTGAACAAGTGTGCATTGAAAGTAGTTGCAAAACTCTTTTATTTTCTAATGAATAAAAAAAAAATAGCATTTTGGTTGCTCATCCACGCAGCTTCCTTTTCTATGTTCTATGTTTTCATGCTGTAGCTTATTCATCCGCTGTTCCATTTCTGTATCCTGGCGTTGTGATGGAACCCCTGAATCCACCGTCCTCCAATATCGACTGTGCATGTAAGTTTTCAGAGTTTTTCCTTTCCGATGCAGGAGGGTCTTAGGACAGTGGTGATGATCCAGGACACTAGACCAATTGCTCTAAGTGGTTTTTATCATGGAATTCCCTGTGCTTGAACTGTTTCATTCTCTGATCTATGTTGGAAAATCTATGACTTTGTAATGTCCTCCGAGATAACTGTTGTGATTTTATACAAGAATACATTGAACTTAATTGAATTGAATGCCAATGGGGAAAAAAATCACTTTTTCTCCCAACAGAAATAAATCAGTGTTTTTTCATCCTGTGACTTTTATCTTGTTGGAAAATAAGCTACCTTTTGCATACTTGTGAGAAAGAGCCCTATGAGTCACGTTTTGGCCGTTTTAATTTTTCTGTTAAAAAAAACTAAAGCTCTGACAGAGGCCAGAAAAAACATGCTTGTAAAAACTAGGAAAATCATCTTTTTTGGAAGAAGAAGAAAGAACAAGAACGTTTGGTTAAATTTTAAGCAAAGTAAAATGATTTCTTATTTCTGGTGTAATCAGACCTTTAATCCTCATTTCATTGGCAAAATGTACTCTTTTAACCAAATATATAATCGCGTCGGACATTTGTCCGCGGAGGATGCTGTACCATGTTGTCGAGGAGTGACAGTGGCTTAGTTGGTCATGTTGAGATAAGAACCAGCTGCAAAAGTATCAACCAAGCTTTATGCATAAAGTTGTAAAAGCAGCTTTAATAATCTGACAAGCATTGACATTATTAATATATGTTCATTTACAAAAAGTAGAAGTATAAATGCAGCTGAGGATTTTAACATTAATCATATGAATGAGAGGATTAGAAGATTGTGTCTATAAAAGTTAATTGAAAGGTTCTTACATAACATATATATATATATAATATATATATTTTATATATATATATATATATATATATATATGATCCCCTTTTAAATATATATATATATACTTAAAAAGGGATCATTTATTCTAGTCTGCAACCAAAAGACAGCTTCAACAAGTTTTCCATGTAAATGTTTTCTCCATCATGTTCTCGTGGGCTAATAATATATACAGCAACACAACAATGGTATCAGTCCCTATTGGCCACACTTGAGTAAGCGAGCAGTATCTCTTTGTCTTGAGGGCAGGTCTGTGAAAACTCATTCCTTGCATATGATTTTTCCAGGTAACGTGAGAGGCCTTTAAGAGTACTGAAGTCAATGTTACGGTACTTCTTGGACACGACCTGTGGAAAGGAGAATTTGATGCACAAATCACATGCTGTAATTTCACATTTTCCTTCGGCTAAAATGTCACTATCATGGCAGACATCAAAATGTTTATTCTTTGCATGTTTTTGTATTGACAAAATATGCAAAGAATATCTGGCCCTCACAGTCTGTGTATTTGTGTTCTGAATGTAATATGTTCTGACTGTCTCTTGATGTGAAACTTATGCCTTTCTAAACTCCAGAAACAAATCACACCTTCACAATGTTGAGTTTGGGCAGCAGGTTGCAGTCTGCCAAGGTGAGCTCGTCTCCATCCAGGAAAGAACGTCTGGAGGTAATTAAACATGGATTCTCGTCCAACTCGTGGGGCAAAGGAGTCAGGAGATATTTATCTAGTTTTGCAAGTGACCGTAAAAAATTCTTCTCAATGTCTGAAAAACAAAACAATGGGTTACCTCTAATATCTGCATATGATCATTACTGTTATAAAAGTGTCAATGGAGGCTCCCGGGAAACACTCACGGATAAATAGCCCATTTTTGGGGCTCTTGATATAGGCAGAAAACTTGTGGAAGATGTCATCACCAGCTGTCTTGGACTCATTGTAACGACAGCACAGTTTTGGGTAGCTGCAAGGCAAGAATGAGATGTCAATAAGTCCCCACTGTGAGACAAATAAATGATCTTAATCTTAACCTTATGAATTATAGATTTCAATGATACAAATTTTTCTTACAGAGGCTCTGATAATTTCTCCTCCAAAAACTCCTCAATCTTGTTCGTGTCCGTTTTGACCTCACCATTGTAGATTAAGAAGGGTGGCTGAGATCCGGGGGCCAAGTTCTTCAACACATCAGGGGCTCTGTAAAGGCAATAATATGGTCACAATGTAAGACTAACAAGATGTAAACGTGCAATTTATTGTCCCCGTAGGGAAATTTGTCCCCTGCATTTGACCCACCCTGATGGTGGTCGCTGTTGTATAGCGCCCGGGAACCCATCTCCAGATATCGAGGCTCAGCTTGGTGAGGACTACCAGAGCTGGAGGATTTAACTTATTGAGCATATCTTAGTGGTAGGGGAAACCGGAGCCCCTACGCAGACACGGGGAGAACATGCAAACTCCACTCAGAAAGGCCCTGTTCCGACTGGGATTCAAACCCAGGATCATCTTGCTGAGAGGCGAGAGTGCTAGATGACACAATTCTAAGAAAGATAAATGTTTTTTTCTGTATACTAGCAATGTATATAGAGGCACATCTCCAGGTGATTCAGGGAACAGAGTATGTGTTTCTATTTTAGTCTATCAAAGTCTATTTACAAAGCGCTTTATGAACAAAAAAATGCGACACATGATCAAAAACAAAGGCCCACACAACAGACCCACCCTAAAGGTCACAGACAACGGTATCATACATATCACTCTGCATACAAGCAAACGCACACAGGCATATCGAACCGGGAAAGAAGGTTAAAACCATGTGTCCTGCATTAATGTAGAGAATCATTTTTTTGTGAATGATTACACAGTTATATGTTTTATTTTTTACTCTCTTCACTCTCTTTCTTTCTCTTCACATATTGTCTTTTCTGTGTATTCAGTGCACTCATATGTAATGGACATTTCAACTGTTTACACCTAACACCTTACAAATTCCTTGGGACTTCCTGTTACTAACCATAGGAATACAAATAATTCTAATGAGGGGGAAAACCCAGATAAATCAGACGAGCTATAAGTGTTTTAGCGTGTTGCTGCTATTGTAATGTAGTTAGAATAAACAGATTAATGGTTAGTATGTGCTGTTTATCTATCAGAAATGTGTAATGGGTCGAATATTTCTCATACCTCTTCATGTCCACTGTTGTGATGACAAAGTTGGCTCCTTTTAACCAGAGGATCATGAAAAGTCTTTGACAGAATGGACAGTTTCCAATACTCTCTGCATCCTCGCTGGCCTGAAAGATAAAACAATCAATGTAACCCATGTGACAGGATAGACATTTCGTTCCGATCAAACACTTTGAACCTCCACTTTATTCCAGTCTTTCCTGTTTAACCCTCAAGGAAAATATAAATCTCAAGCGACCTTAGTCAATCTACACAACCTTCTTTTTCAGTGTAACAAAAGAATGATGCTTTGGGGTATTAAAACTTTTAATTGTTCGAACATGAATTGTCATAACAATTATTTTCAGTGTTCTTATGACCACTGTTTGTTGTTATTGTTGTTGTTGCACCACATGATGTACATTTTTTCATTGTGTGCTTGGAATAAACCATACTAAAGCTAAACAAGTGCGCAAGCTATACTCAAACTCTGCAAACTTTGTAAAGTACTGGGACAAATACAGTAAAGACTTAAAAGGGATATAGATGAAGACAATTGGAAAAGCATAAAGCATGAACTTATTGTATCATAAATGTGTTCGATTGGTGTTTTCTGCTAAAGCAAAGATTTAAATATGAGAACACTTAAAACAAAAGTCAAGTTGAAATGTCCTGATTATGCGACATAATAAAGGATCTAAATAATAACATAAAATAAATCACTATTTACCTTCACAAAGAGCTCTATTTTTGGCTCTTCCGCCATGTTAATATCTTAGCTTCCTCAGATCCCCAATCCGATTTCCAGACAATGTCACGGAGTCTGCAAAGCAACCACCAACATGGAACACAAGAACATAACATTTATACCTTTACATTTCAGTGAACCAACTTACATAAGAGGAGTACGTGTGTCCTGTAGGTGTGCTCCTGTCCTCTGTGTTCTAATGGCGTCAATGGTGTGTGAGTTTTGGTCACACCTGTGGAAACACACCCCATGACACAAAACCAGTCAGACTTGTAGGACTGGCTCTGCTCTACAGTCTTCCAGCATATTCTGTCTATCAGCTGTCTCCAAATCCCTGCCGCTCTGTCTTTACCGCTGTCTTCCTGTTGTCAAATCTCTTATCAGTTTGAACACATACAGTATCGGCTTGAACACAGATTTAAGTCAATATAAATGCAGACACATACAATAACAATACCAAGAGGAGATCGCACAACAAAACACACATTCACACATGGATTAAATGTTTTGACTGTGGACACATTGGATTTTATAGTCTGTGAAATTGCGGAGTCGCTCTCAGCCAATTCACGCTTCTTAGCTCCTTGGCACGGTGGCTGAGTGGTTAGCACTCTCGCTTCTCAGCAAGAAGGTCCTGGGTTTGAATCCCGGTCGGAACAGGGCCTTTCTGAGTGGAGTTTGCATGTTCTCCCTGTGTCTGCGTAGGTTTCCTCCGGTTGCTCCGGTTTCCCCTACCACTAAAAACATGCACAATAGGTCTGAATGTAAATGAGAGAGTGAATGGATGGTGTTGGGTCAGAGGCTTTGATGGTCCAGTGTGTTCTGGACTCGCTTCTGTCATCACCGTGTGTGGAAGGATTGGAACAATATCTGACTCTGAACATTGTAAAGCGCTTTGGGTCTGACCTTGGTCTTTAAAATGCGCTATATAAATAAACAGTACTTACTTAGCCACTTTTCACTTCTGAATTCGAATCCCGGTCGGAACAAGGCATTTTGGAGTGGTGTTTGCTTGTTCTCCCCGTGTGCATAGGTTTCTTCCAGGTGCTCCAGTTTCCCCTACCACTAAAAAGACAATAGGTCCGGCATGCGCTTCCTGTACGGCGACATTGCTCCGATCTTAGTGTGGAGTGAGAGACTGGTCTGAAAAAGCGCTGTATAGATAAAGATAACTTAATTACTATAAAGCAGCCAATGGAGTTATTTGTGGACAGCGTTCCTGCATGTATTTTGTACACATTTTGAAATCAATTGAAATATTTTCTATAAAGTCAAATTCATAAACATTTGTGTAAACCACTGTACAATCTTGACTGAATTTGTGACTAAAGCAACAACAACATACCACAGTGAATATCTGTTGCTGTCTGCTGTGTTGCAGACACCTCTCGTCTGTCACCGTGTGTTCAGTGTCAGATCTGTGAAGTGGTCGATCAGCATTCATTAACGTATGCTGTCATCTGCCTGGAATCCAACCCCTCAAAATTAACTGGGTCAAAAATAAAAATGTAACTGTTTTTATAATACGGGTAAGATAAGTGAAGTTCATGTGAAATTTCATAACACTTTTAAGCAACTTTTCTTAAAGTTAAACTCATCATTCTATCAATGTGCAGAAGCCTGTACTTTTCCCTTGTTGTGTCTATCTGAAGGCCAAGCTACATGGCACTGTGGCAGCTGCTGATTGGAGGTCTCCATGCCTCCGCTCTGTATAATACACTTGCATTCTGTTGTTTGTGTTGTTCGTGCTGTCTCTACCATCGACAATAAAACATGTCTTCTGTCTGAATGAAAGACGCGATCCCAGACTATGTCATCTTCTTCATTCATGAAGTCCAAGAGTGCACCATAGGGCTCCAGAGTGCACTCATTTAAGCGCAATCAGATCACCTCATGAACAGTAGCTCAGTTGGTAGAGCATTGGCCTTAAGCCCAGAAGGTCGTAGGTTCAATTCCCACCTCTGCACCTTCTCCACCGACTCCCACTGATGACTGCTGTCGTTGTGTCCTTGGGCAAGACACTTTACCCCACTTTGCCCAAAGCCCCCACTGAAAGATCAAGGCTATGCTCTCACTCAGAGAGCAGCCGTCCTCCTGTGGACTCACCACCTGCAGAGGGTCAGTGAGGGGCTAGTGCTATGAGACTTGGGTGGCATCTCTGACTGCCACCCCCCTGACCCAGAAATGGATTAAAGGGAAGAAGATGGATGGATAGATCACCTCACCTGACACACTGGCATGTTGGGTCTTTTCCCCCTTAAGTAATTAACTGTCCAGGATCACTGTTACAAATTTGTCCTGACTCATTTATCCTATTCATCATTCATTCACTGAAAGAGCTCATCAGCTCCTCCACAGTCCTGTGCAGAGGGTGGGAGGTGTTGTCCATGTGAAAGACAAGTTTAGATGTATTACCTTGTTAACATGTTTCTGCTGCAGAGCTCCAAGTCATATTCAGAACTGTCATCTGTCTTGGTAACGTGTCATTTATCAGCTGATGTTACTTCCTGAAAAGGCGTGGTCAAGCCTGATCGACCTGGCTGGTCAAGGAGGCCATTCGAGACGAGGGAGCTTTTGTCCTGTCCCACACATTGGACACCCTCCTCCAGAGACCACCGGGCGAGAGGGGGCGTGGTCAGTCTGAGTAACCTGCCAGGTAGTTCAATGAGGTTTGGCCTATAGTGTTGGATGCGGTATGACCTAACACTTATGACATAGGATCCTCTGACCACCACCACTCACACACCTGACCCATTCTTGGCGATGTGGATGACACAACAATATTTTGAAATCAGACTTCAAATTACTTTCACATGACGGAGGTGCCACATGAATCTATGAGGTACAGTATTTGTAACTGTAATCTAATGTGTTACACTAACAGAGTAAACACAATCCGAGTATTTGTTTTAGAGAGGCGTACTACCATAATAAATGTATACGGTAACTAGTAGAGAGTTTTTCCCATATGGGTGTGGGCATCTCACAATGACACACTGTCACTTTGGACCGCACCTTGAAACTAAGAGCCATAAGGTATAATCAAAGTCATTTTATGCTCAACGTATCGACATGTTTGATGAACTTCACAGTATTTGTGGTTTTGCATTTATTCGCCAACATTTTTTGTGTGGTCTGAGTCAAGCTAACGGTGCTTCAACGGCTGACTCAGGGGACCGTTCTTTGTGTGGCATAAATCATGAGCCACATCCTGTTAGAAACACACAGTGGTAAACCATAAATGTATTCGTTATAATCATAGTATTCAATTATTGTAAAATACTTCTAAATACATCTATTTTGAAACGTAGCATCATGACATCACTACAAGGAAAGAATTTTGCTATATTCTTTGTTAGACTTACATGCTAAAATAAAAATGTTACTTAATCATTTGAAATCAATGAGATTAGATTATTATGGAGTGGAGTTTGCATGTTCTCCCCGTGTCTGCGTAGGTTTCCTCCGGGTGCTCCGGTTTCCCCTACCACTAAAAAGGCATGTGCCTCCTGTACTGGCCCCTCCCACTCCCAAAAAATAACAATTGTAAACCGCTTTGAGACTCCGATGTGCAGTGAAAAGGCGGTATATAAATAAAGATTACTTACTTACTTACAATAAAATAGACAAAACTAAAGAATGCATTGGAAATCTCTGAAAGGCGGCCGTCCTGTCTTATGTGACAACGCCTGAAAAGTCGTTTTTTTTTTTCTTTCTCTAAAAAGGAAGCTGTGAGTGAGCAGCAGAGTTCCTCCATGCTCTGATTCTCGCAGAGGAAGCCACTATGGTGAGTCCTAATTTTCATTTGGCACAGAAAGGTTTATCATGTAACTCACTCTCAAACAATTTAGTTCTGTCACTAGTTTTCCTCTGCATGCGAGTCTCAGTTTTTTAAACTGTTTTATGATAAGATCAATACAGATGAAAAAAGTTAATTCCACTTTTTACCATGAGAGGACTTGATGATCAGAAATATATATACTGTATATATATTACCACACCTTTCATTTCTAATTGAATCTCCATTTCCCCTTTCAGGCCAATGGCAGCTGGTGGAGGAACAAAAAGAACCTCTTGTATTGCTTAGTTTGTGTTACAAATCTATGCCTTCTCTGCTGCTGGACTGGACACTTACAAACCAGGACAAAATATGGCTTCAATGCTTGTGCAAATGGTAATCATAATTCAGTCTCCATTCTACTTTGGCACTGGCCCTTTGACAAAGCATATTCTTTGAAAGGGGACGTGTGTTGGAACCTGTATAAAATCCCCAGGTGTAAAATTGAGGACCGTCGTTCTGAGTTTTCAAACGCTGACATTGTTGTTTTCCACCAAAGAGAGCTTTCCTCAAAGACACAACAACTCCCTTTGAACTTCACACCCCCACATGGACAACGGTGGGCATGGATGTCTTTAGAAGCTCCAGAAAACAATGGCAATTTGCAGCAATTTTCCAACGTCTTTAACTTGACCATTAGTTATAGAAGAGATGCGGACATCACACTGCCCTACGGTGAGCTGCAACCACAGGAAGGAGATATGCAAGACTTTTCGATGAATAAAAGCAACCTGGTGTGCTGGGTGGTCAGCAACTTCAACAGTCACTACCACAGAAGCAAAGTTTACAAAGAGCTCAGTGCCTTTGTGAACGTCACAGTGTATGGCTGTTGGAGGAATGCTTGTTTACCTGCATCTGAGTTGTTACCTACCATCTCTCGCTGCCACTTTTACTTGGCATTTGAAAACTCTATTGCTAAAGATTATATTACTGAAAAGCTGTGGAGGAACGCTTTCATGGCTGGTGCGATTCCAGTCGTCTTGGGGCCATCCCTTGCAGATTACAAAGCTGTAGCCCCACCCAGTTCCTTCATTCATATTGATGATTTTGCCTCAATGCAGGAGCTTGGGAGATATCTGCAGAGGCTGGCAGCAGACAGGCACCGCTACAACGAGTTTTTCAGGTGGAGGCGAGAGTGGAAGGTGAAGCTGATCACAGACTGGAGGGAGAGACTTTGTAGAATATGCACACAGTATTATTGCCTGCCCCACAAGAAAGTATATTCAGATTTACAAGCATGGAGTAATGAGTAACTCGTTTGCACTTTGGACTTATCCAACTGCACATGCAAAGTCAGAATGTGAAAATAAATAAATTAAAGTTATTTGCTATTGTGAATGTCTCAATACTTGAAATACTGAGCTGAAATAGGTTTGGCTCCTGACAGTTAAGACATTTGTAAATAAAGTACTGCATGCTAAGCTGATTAATGTATTTTTGCCAAGACAAAACATTGTACTGCCAAAAATATCTAATGCTACTTTTCATAAGCTAGTGTTTAATAAAAGGCAGATACATTAAATATTATATTCTAGAACTGAATGCAGCAGAAATTAAAACAAAATCACGAGAGTGGAAATGTGCAAAGTTTACTGTCAAAATGTGAATACATGAACAGTAAAAAGAGGCTGCAGCTCCATGGCACAATAAATAAAGCAAGTCCATTTTACATTCTATTGACAACTGCCACAAAATGCTAATCACAGTAGTTAAGGCACTCGGTTTCGCTGAGATTTGAATTTCCTGAAAGATGTTGCTTTGTATATAATGACTCCACAAGTAGAGAACATTTTAGACTGCACATTTACAAAAACTCATAACACATGTTTAAAATACCTCTTCACAAGACATTTGTGCAACAGATACATTGTCATTGCTTCCTGAATTCATAGAACTATAAAAAAAACACCCGTTGGTAAAATATAAAATGGTACAAAACAATTGACCTGTATGTGCCCTGCAAGTACCAAAGTCTTTAAAGCAGTTTAGCAACAGTCACATCCTCTTTCACAACTTCAGCTGTGAAGAGTCAGTGTCAACATTAACAGTGTCCACAAGTCATCTCATGGTTCATCCAGTCAGGTGGCCCACCAGGCCAGGGTGCAAGGCCTGCTTCAGGACATCCGCCCTGTGCAGAGAGGGCATGTACAGTGCAGACGTGGCTCCGGTGTAGCCAGGTCCTGCATAGCTCTGGTTGGGGAGAGAAGAGGCCACCATGTTGAGAGGAGGGCTCTGCTCATAGTACTGCCCTTCACACTCTTCATCCAGAGGTAGTGCCAGCCTCTTCCCCTTCTGCCTCCGGTTACAGAACCACACACGAACCACCTGGGGGGGGGGGGGGGGGGGGGGGGGGGGGACATTATCAAAGCCAGCCATGATTATTGGCATCTGCAGCACACAAATCTCCACTTACATCTCTTTCCAGGCCCAGGTCGTCAGAGATGTGGGTGATCTCCTGCGTGTTCGGTTTGGGACATTTCACAAAATAAGACTCCAAAGCTGAACGAACTGCTCCTTCCAAACTCGTCCTCCGTTTTCTCTTTCTGGTGTCCACAAACACACGTTCGATCTTATACATCTGTAGAATGGATCACTTTAGTCACAGCTGGCGCTATAAGTTTATTTAGATGCTACTGAATAGTACTTACATCCTGAGGGTTTTCAGAAGTCTCCGCTTCATTCAGCCATCTCTGGAGCAAAGGCTTTAGTTTACACATGTTTTTAAAACTCAATTGAAGGGCTTCAAAACGGCAAATTGTGGTTTGACTGAACATTTTTCCTATTGGGAAAAAACAATCAGTAAAATCCCCTGATTAAAATGTCACATTTGTTTTGTAAGAACTTACCATACAAGTTCCCCAGAGCAAGCCCAACATCAGCCTGTGTAAAACCCAGGGTAATGCGCTTGTGTTTCAGCTCTTTGGCAAACTGCTCTAGCTCTTCTGTGGTGAGACTCTCCTGCACATTGAAAAAGCACTTTAAAAACTTATTACTAGATGTACAATTCTAATTACAAATTAACAGTGCGTGTCCCTGGTTTGCATACAAACATGCGTCTTCTATATGGATCAATTAGTAATCAATTAATGCCCAATTTAACGCTCAAATTAAATCAATCTGTTCTCACCTCCTCCGAGTCGCTGCAGCCGCCGCTGGAGGAGCCGCTGCTCCGGCCTGATGAGGACGGGTTCGGTGTCTGCGCTGTGGCGGCCTGTGAGGGGGTTCCACTGCCAAAGAACGCGTTCCCATTGTTCCCGCTGCTCGGAGGAGACGGCGACATTGAGGGAGAGGACGCAGAGGACGGGGTGGGAGGGTTCTGACTGCCGTTGTGTTCCCGGGGCTGTATGTGCGCGATCCCGGGCCAAAAGGTTGGGTTCCAGGGTGTAGAGTAGAAGACTCCGTGGGACATGGCTGGGGCCGCATACTGCTGGATTTTCACCTCCGCAGAGTAGTCCTCATTTTCCTCCTTCACTTTAATGTCGGGCAGTTTGACCTGTGGGGTCTGGGCGATCGGGGGGCTCAGGTTCGCAGGCTGGGGGCCGCTGCCTGTGCTTGGTACCTGGCTCACGTACTCGGGCGATGTGAATGGGTACCAGGGTTTGGGCTGAGCTAGGTCCACAGCCTGCTGCTGCTCCGGGCCGCGATACTCGCAACCCATCGGCCCAAAGGGAAAGAAGGCCTGAGAGGGTATTCCGCTGTATGCAGACTTGTTGTAGAGTAAGTTAGGGTCCGTCAGGAGCCCGGGCATCTGGTAAGACTCCTGGCCCTGAGGACAAGTGTTGGCTCGGCTGTAATCATATGGCCGGTTCTGGCACTCCGCGGGGCTCAGTGATCTTTCAGACATCATCAAGCAACACGCACCAAACACTCGTAAATGTGGTGCCCGAGCCACTTGTTCAGTCAAAAACACAGCAGTTTATCCCCGCAAAGAGGAAAAGGACAAAAACAAAGGAAAGTCCCAAACGAGGCAAATGGAAGAAGCTTGCTCCGGTCTCAAAAAGTCTATCTCCTCGGCCTAGTCCATATGGATCCACTGCTCCGTGTCCCGCGTCTACTCAAAAGTGGAGCTCTGTTTCTGCTGCGCAGGTTTTTCCAATCACAGATGCGGGGGGTCTTTGACGGAAGCGCCCGCGTCTCTGCGCCGATTGGCTAACAGCACAATTACGCACAGCTGATTGTGAAGTTGTGGATGACCTTGTGCTCTGATCAAGGGGCGTGTCCGGAGAAGGATCTGTATGTTTCAGTGCTTTATGTTTTATCTGATTGCTGGACAGTAGCAGCTTTGCACGCCGTTGCAAAAAAGAATAGCGGCCTGATAGAAAGGCCACACCCACGTAGTTAACAGTTAAAAGGCAAAATCAACAAATCAGAATGCTGTTTTGGAATTTGAGATTTAAATCTGGTTGTCATAAATACCCGTGCATCAGTCGTGCCATAATTTCAATAGCGTATTTAGCGCTAACTAATGCCATTGTGATTGTAATGTTTCACTGACGTGTTGGCCCGACAAATTATCTAATACCAATTAACACAACGTGCAACATTTAAAAAATGCCAAATGCCTTTGGGAATATCCATCACGGAATATCATTATGCACTCTCATTTTGATCTGAAGACCTGGAATTTTCCGCTGCCCTGAGACCCTGTCCTTCCCCCATATCATAGTTTGTTATAGCCTTAAGTTGTGCCGCAATTGTCTCTATGTCAGTGAATCTATATCAGATCATTTCAATTTTCCACACCTAAGTAGTTTTGTGATGGATCCATCTTTGTCATTAGGTTACGTGTTTTTGTCCACAGTACTATTTACTGATGACTTTATTGGTGGTGGTCACAATAGCCTCGGCTTGCGCAGATGCGCGTCCCCATACGGTGGTCGCAGAATGCAGCAGGAAGACGCACTGCGGGAGGAGAGAGGGGGACAATTGTGCCTCCTGGCCTTGGGACACCCCGTGGATTCAGATCCCAGGTTGCGATGGCCGGCCATTAGCTCCTTTTCATATTGAAACAAAACGTCTGAAGCCTTTGATTCCGCCCTGCACCCACCTCCTCCTTTCTGAAACAAACTGCAGACTGGTTTCACTCCGGTCTGTGCCAACAGCACAATGTGTGCGAAACACTTTGAGTCAAGTTTGAGAATATACAAAATAGTTATGTCTGCATGTTGTTATTGTTAGCTACACGTTTGAAGTCAATGAAATGATTAATACAAAACTTGTTTTACAATGTTTAACCTTTAATTGATTTGTGCAAGGAGAGCAGCGAATCAGAGAAGAGCATTTTTTCAAGAGCTGTGTTTAATGTTATACCACTTACAACAACATTTTCTATAATGTATGTTTGAATATGTTTTGGCAGTCAAATAAAGGCACAAGAGAAGCTTGGATGTAATAGAATGATCTGGGTTCTAATCTCTACAAAGTTACCAGATCTGTGTGGGGTGTTTGAGGAGGAGGTCAATAGCTTAAAAGGCATTAAACCACACCTCTACAAGTATCAATTTGGGCCATGGACTTGGGTAAGTATTGTTATGCAAAACCTGGGAGAGTGGACATGGGGGGCAGGCTGAATGGTACAGTGAGGAGGATGTCAGGGGGCTATCCAAGGATTTATCCCAAACCCCCCTGAGATTCAGGCTCAGATCTGTGGCTCTTTTTAAGTGGTCTCTTGAGTTCATCTGTTGTGAGCTGTTGTGGGCCAGGCCTGGTCTGAGAGAAAGTGCAGACAGATGAAAGAAAAGCAGTTGTGAATGTTGCTCTGTTTGACTCCTGGGAGGAAGGCACCAGGCCATTGTGTAGCACCCCTTTAGATGCTACAAGGACATGGAAATCAATCACAATCTGAATTCTTTTAACTTCAGGAAGAAAGAAATGTATCATATTTTAAGAATAAATGTATACACACTTCTGAAAAAGCTAAGAATCCCTGTCAAATATACTTGTACTTGATGTATGATGATCCATCGCATGCATCACATACAGTTCTTTGTTTTGAGAGAAAGGAACTAGACTATTTCTGTTGTCAAAAATAAGACTGAGGCAGGGTTGGAAAATGTGGAGCACAATTGGCCCAGAAGTTAGACAGAACAAAATCAGAACATGTCCAACCCACTATACTACCTTTAACTACATTGATCCCTGTGACCTTATAGACCTGATCCCCTGAATTTTATCTTCTGAGTTGTATCATGAAAGCCACTGCTGAGACAAGAATAATTTATGGAACAAAAAAGTTAACTTCAACTCATCTCCTGCATCTCTCAATAACTGCCAACCCACTTGTGGTTTGGGAAACATTACGCCCCTTGTCGGGCTTATTCCATACAATTTACCCTAAAACCATATCATGCACATAGGCTGAGGTGCAGAAAAAGCTTCCGGCATATTCAACAGTTTTTCCAGATCGAACACAAGAAGACTGAACGTTGTTGTATGGTTTGTATCAATGTGCATAAGAACAGAGATGTCATCACGTGAGATATTCATGACACATGCTTCAGATATTAGAAACAATGTGGATCAGAACAGATACTTTCAGTTTCTTCAGATAATAATGGGTTTCTGTATTACAGTTAAAACAGGGGTCAAAATATGTCAGATTCTACACTAGCTTGTGAAAAAAATGACAAGATTTGGGATCATGTCACAGGCAGAAGACATGTTTCATTAATGAGGAGACACTTTAGAGATTTTATGACACTTTGAAGCAACTGTGGTGAAAGTTCTAACTCATCATTCTAACATATGCTCAAGGCAGTACTTTTTCACTGTATGTTTTGGTTACTCAAGGTCGAAGCTACTGGCACTGTGGTGATTGCTGATTGGACGGTGTTCATTCCTCAATGCTGTATTATACACTTGCATTCTGTAAGATCCTTGTTGGTGCTGTCTCTACCATTGACAATAAAACATGTCTTCTGTCTGAATAAAAGACACGGTCCCAGACTTTGTCATCTTCTCAGATTCAGATTCAGATTATTTGCCATTTGCAGTAAAAACACCACATAGGAATACATTAGCAAAAGTCTCCAGTGTGCACAGACAAATGCAGACATAAAACAACATTAAAAGACAAAAATAAAACAAATAAAACAGTAAAACAAAAAACTTCAACACAACAACTTTCTTCAACACACACAAAGTTTTTCAGAAGGTCCAGCTCCTCGTGACGGTATAAGGCTAGTTAGACCTTCAGATAACCAAAATATTCAAGTGGAAAATTACCAGCTTGTGCAACCTGTCCGAATGATGAGTTCCACTTTAACCACAGTGTTATAAAAGAGCCTTTATTGGTTACGATTCCAGTATCTACACAACAGTTTCTCACCCAATATGTTAAAGAAATAGTGTGACTCTGCACCATGTCTGACTATGGTAGTTCTGTATGTTTCGCACTGAATCATTTAAAACCCCTAACTCCAAATATGTTTGTGCTTGTGAACAATATGCAGGACAATCAAACTGTTTGTGGAGCCGAGGGCTTGCAGTTTGGGTCTCTGGTGACTGGTTTACTGTGATCATGTCAACGCCAAACAATATGTGAGATTTCATAACACTTTGAAGCAGCTATTGTTAAAGTTAAACTCATCATTCATTCAATGTGCAGAAGCCTGTACTTTTCCATTTGATGTTTTGATTTCTGAAGGCCAAGTTACAAGCACACTGTGGCAGCTGCTGATTGGAGGACTGCATTCTCCCATGCTATATTATCACTAACAGTTTGTTGCATTCTGTTGTTCGTGTTGTTCGTGCTGTCTCTACCATCGACAATAAAACAGGTCTTCTGTCGGAATTTAAGACACGATCCCAGACTTGGCTCATCTTCTTCAAATATTTTCTGAAAATTTTAAGCAGCTGTCTAAAGGGATCTGATACCAGTAGTATTTTGGCTAACTGTTGTGTCTAGACAGTTTTTACAGTTGAGAAAAATTTCAAAAGTGTTAAATTAAATACGGGAACTTGTATTAATCATCTCCAAGGACTGCCACCTTTTTGCCTTACTTTACTGCCCCTATTGTCAGTCGTAAGTCAGACCTGTTAGCTTTGCATGTTGGCCTCCACCAAGGCTGCCCTTTGGAACCGGTTCTGTTCCCTGTTTTATGGACAGAATTTCTAGGCGCAGCTAGGGGCCAGATGATAGACATCAGGACTTCATCTCTGCTGTTTGCAGAAGACGTTGTCCTGATGGCTTCCACAAACCAGGACCTTCAACACGCACTGGAGGATGCACGTTCATCCCCTGGATGAGCTGGAGGAAGAGGGTGTGGAGAGGGATGTCTGGGCGTTTCTGCTTAGGCTTCTGTCCCAACGACCCAACAACGGACAAAGCGAAAGAAAAAGGCTGGTTGTACTTATATTAAGGGTATTGGGGGAAAAAATACACAAAAACTTACTATTATGTTCTTGTTTACAATATTCATCCGTGAGTTTGGAAAACAAACTGTCAGAATTATTGATTTGACAGAAAAAATGGGAACTGCTGTATTTGTATGTTTCACATGTCCAGGAACGTAGCCTGTGTCACCTTTAAAGGCAGACAGTAGAGACATTTCTTTATTACGATAAGAGTTCCACAGTGGGGACATTTCGAAGCACACATTACAGAACAGTAGGAGCACAAAAGAGCACTCAAAACAAGAAAAAGAAGGTAACTCCATAAACAGATTTAATATTAGATCATAATAATAATAATAATAATGCATTGGTTTAATAAAGCGCTTTTTTGGACACTCAAAGACGCTTCACATGTCATTATTCTTTCACTCCATACACTGCTACTGTAGCCACAGCTGCCCTGGGGCACACTGACAGAAGCGAGGCAACCAGTCTGCGCCATTGGCCCCT